GCCTCCCAAGTAGCTGGGACCACAGGCGCCCGCCACAACGTCAGGCTATTTTTTGGTTGCAGCCATCATTGCTGTTTGGCGGGTTTTGGCTGAATTCGAACCCGCCACCTTAGGTGTATGTGGCTGGCGCCTTAGCCACTTGAGCCACAGGTGCCAAGCCAAGATGTATAATTTAAAATAGCAGATCTGTGTTAGTATAACAGTAAGTAAAATAAAAATAAAATAAAATCTATGAATATCCCAATAAATATCCTACCTTGCATGCTCCTGAACTCCTACAATCTCTACTTCACTGTCCGAAGAGGCGATATTAATTTCTTCATTAAGTGGTACATTGCCAGCAGATGTTTTGTCACTTGCTAGGAATCCTGGATCCAAGTGACCTAAGAGAGAAGAGGAGAAAAAAACAAGCTTTGATGTCTTAAAACAGCAGAAACAAGTCACACACATTTATCATCCAGGTTCAATTACAGGAACAGAATAGAGAGCTTCCACAGCAAAACCATTACCTAACATCAAATAAGCTGGGGCAGTGTTCTTTTTTTTAAATTGATTTTTTAAAAATACATATGGCATGTATTCAAACAACATGGCAGTACATAAAAGTATGAACTCTAAGTCTCTTACTGTCTCTATGTTTACTACACATACATGAATGTAAGTAACACTGTATATACGATATTTTACATATACATATATGAAATGTAATAGTATTCCATATTTTATTTTGTAAATGCTTTTTGCAGTTAACACAAGTCAGGTTTTAAACGACTTACATAACCACATAAGGGGCAAACGGGATTCTCCACTGCTTACCATTTTAATAGATTTAAATTCTAAACCAAAAAAACTCAAAGACAAAAATGGAATAATAGAAGTAATCAATAATACCATACGTATACTGGGATGCTTCATTAAAGACTTAACATTTGTCTTTTTAAAGATTTGATAAAATTTGATCCAAAACTGTATCTAAAAGGGAAGGTTAGAGGTAAACCGTGGTTTTAGCTCTGAGCAACCTATATATCAGTGTACACTGCTGAGCGTTCTCCTGAAACAGAAACAAACCACACACCCTGGAAAAATCACAGTAGTTGGTGGCACTGGGGCATGTAAGGGCTTTTTCATAAGAGTCTTCACAAGGCATATATTATATAACATAATAAAACACATTCCCAACATCATATAAAACATGAGCTTCACAGAGCTCTTTTAATATAGGCATAGCATCAAAGTATGTAGCTCTAAAAACAATCCTAGCAAGAGTTAAAACAAATCAACCTGTGTACCCAGCTCCTGAATGTTCTGACTTAAAAGAATGAATTTTAGAATACCTAGGAATTAACACCAAATAACAAAGTTGCCACAGGTACAAATTTTCATTAACTCTAATGGGATATTTTTATTTAAATAGTATTCATATAGATGATCATCAGATAGAAAACTCTTTTTCTGTATTAAAGAAATTCTTCATGATACTTAATATAAACTAAGTGAATGTAAAGAAAATAAAACTTCACACACACAGCTTTTTTTCTGCTCCCTTTGCTCCATCCAATGTTTTGAGGTCACTGAGAAATACTGTACTTTCGTACTCCTGTTAACTTTTAGTGGGACCCTTTTGGAAAGCTAGACAGTTTCAAGGCAAACCTTACAAGTTTTACATCCTCTGACCTCAGCATTTAAGGGAAAAGCCTTTAAACAAGCAAAATGTTATGATATCCAAAGAATTCACTACAGTGCTGTGCAAAAACTTGGGGAAATGTATATATTAACATAAAAAGTAGCACATATAACACTATAAAAATATGTAGGTGCTGAGTAAAACCATTAAAAGTATCAAGTTTGACTATGATTGTGGGTCTTTTTCACAA